AAGCTAGACAAACCCAGGTTGACGAGCCCTTAGCTGGCACAAACCTCCACGGTGTTCTTCAGTTTCCACAAGCATTCTCCAGATTCTCCATCCACGTAGGATCAGCAATTTCCAAAGCACTGCCCCCGGTGCAAGGGCAGCGTCTTTCAAGCTGGTTCCAATTACGCTGGGCCACTGTGGACGTCTCACACGTGTCAATATTTGCAACCCTCAAGACTGAGCTGCAGGGGCACGCTCCAAGGCAGCGGGAGACCCTGGACACCGCGGTCTCTGTGGCTCCTTATGGGGGCCACGACCAGCCTCTCAATTGCCATCGCAAGTGCCACTTCCAAACTTCGTCCCCCTGTGGCTACTCTTAGATTCCCCCCACCCCTTTTCAAGTACCCAGGAGATATGCCCCATGTACATTTTAAGTTTCCCAAATATTTCTACTTTAATACTGCTGTTTAGACTCTTAGCGCTGTCACATAAACATTCCTGAGAGCTCGCTGTGAAGGTGGAATTTTTGGCCAGTGCCTGCAGCTTTCACGTTGGTGGGATGAAATGGAATAGATCGAATGGCAAAGCACAGGACATTTATCTAAGGGGAATCTGAAGTGGGCACGATGTTCTTCGCCAGGTAAAAGAAGGAAATAGAAGAACAGTAAACAGAGCTCTGGATTTTCTGTCTCAGAAGATATGCACACAAGAAGGACAAGGATGGAAATCTTTCATAAGGCACACACACACACACACACAACAACAACATCCTTTTTTCCCCTTGCAAAGGGCCTCAGTCTCATGTGGTTTATTATTTTTTTTAAATCACCCAAATGCAAAGTTAAAACCGTTCCTACTCTAAAAGGAACGCCATAAATTGGCTTCTCACTGCATCCCAGGGTAGAGAGTAAACAGATTTTCGTTGGCGATGCTCAATTTCTCCCTCTTTATTTCCAGCCGGGGTTTACGGCAAATATTTCTGACCCCCCCACCCTAATTCTCTGAAGTCGCTATGTTAATCGCGCAGAAAACATTCACCTATATTGGTTCAGTTATTTCACTTTAGCATAATGAAAAAAAATTTCCTTTGTTTCTCCTGCCCTGCTTTTACAAGAATATTGCCCGCGGTCAGCAGCCGGTGCAGGCGGGTGCGGGGGCTTCCCCGCACCGGGCTGATAGGACGGCTCGCCACTGTGCCAGGCTGGCGGACGACAAGCGGGCTCAGCCGCAGAGACCCAGCTCCAAGGCCACGGTGGCCAGAAACAGGCTGGTTGAACACGAGCCGCGGGGATGGTCTGTGCGAAGCCGGGGCTGCGTTTTCATGGGAATGGGTACTGTCTCCAGTCCCTTGCGTCGGGGAGTCTGTGCGTCCCAGTGTGGAGAGGCAGGCGTTGGGATCAACACACCGCTCTCCCGCTACCCACCTGTCGCATTCAGGAGGGGACGTCCTGGCCTCGCGTTCCCTGCAGAGCCCAGAGCGCCCTTCTCCTCCTTTTCGATCCCCTTCTCTGCCACTCCCTGGCCCCAGCCGGACTTCCCAGTTTTTCTGCATTGTCCCGCTTCCCGCGAGCGGGTTCGCGGTCGGTGCTCAGCCCTTCGTCTGCCAACACCTGACGGCTTCCCGGTGTTTGCAGTACGCTTTCTTTATTTTCAGGTGCTGTGTGGCGGAATCGCCTTTGCGTGTCTGTGGCTGGGCTGCGGGATGGCCTGCGGGAGACCTCGCTAGTACCGCACACCCGCAACCTGCGCTGCGCTGGAACGAACAGACTCGCGTGTTTGATTTCGAAGCCCAGGACTCAACAACGAAACAGCGCTCTGAAAGCACGCAGCGAAAGCGCAGGCTAGGCCACGCGGGCGAGCAGAAACGGAGCCGGACCCCCAGAGTCACGAAGGTCGCGACCCCCGCCCCGTGCGCAAAGGGAGGCTGGAGGTAGCAGCCTGCGCCCGCAGGCCCCGGCTCGGGCTCGGGCTCTCCACGAACGCCGCCTGCGGTGGGCTCTCTCCCGGCAGAATCCGAGGACGCACCTGCTGATGCTGTGTCGGATTTCCTGTGCTCCTTTAGTTTCCTCCTGATTTGGAAACGCATAGGCCCCGGGCTCTGGCCTCCACCTTCCGGGAAGGTTCCTACCCAAAATGAAAGCGTTGCAGAAACCCTGGAGTGGGAGCGACCGTTGCTCCAAGGACTGCTTGGCAGCCGGGCCCCTGGCCGCTGTCCTCCCGGGGCGACCCTGGTGCCCCTCTTTGGCTCAGGCATTCAGAACTGGGGTTGCCTCTTCTTTCTGTGCCTTGGGAAACTCGAGCCACGTTGAGGCGGCTCGGGAACCCTCAAACCGATCCTCCTCCCCCTCTGTGGCTCCCAGCCCGGGTTTCAGAGAACGCCCACAGTCCAGGAGGCTCCCGTGAGCTGGGAAGCTGCCCTTCTCTAGTCGCGCGCGCTGGGTCCAGGGCGCGCAAAAACTACGGTGTCAATAACCCTGGCCTGGGGCTTCACCCGTGCGCGTTCAGCGCTGACTCGCAGCCGCCCCTCGCCCAGACCAGAACGAGAACCGCACCGCTTCCCTGGGAGGGGGAAGCAACCTATCTTGTCTCCTGCAATCCCACCTTCCGGCGGGTCCACCGCGCGGGAGCCCCGCAGAGCCCAGCCCTGGGTCGACAGGGGGCGACAAACTGTAAGATTTCCCCCTGTGCCCTGGTGTGCCGCGGCGGCCAGCGCTGTGTGGTCCCGAGCGCTAGCAGCTGGGCTGGCTGCTGCGCTTGGGAGCAGCGGTGAGGCGCGGGCTGGCGGGCCCCGCTACTCCACAGCCCTCCAGGCGCGATCGCTCCGCTCTCTGCCCCTAGCCGCGCGCCGCCTTAACCCGGCGCGCGGGTGCTGTGCGAAGCTGCGCCTCCGCGCTAGCGCCCCGAGCTCTGCCAGCTCCTAAGGTGTAGCTGGGGGCGCACCTCCCGCCTTATTCGCTCTCCTCTGAACGCGTCTGTGGGCTCCTCACCTACAGGGGCGAAGACGTGGCTTCCGCTGCTGTCTCGGGTTTCGGTGGATGCGTTCGGTTAGGAGTGGATTCTGCATTTCTTATACGTCGGAGACCTCAAGGGCTAGGAATCGACGTTTCTGGTGTCGCTTGCCCGACATAAAATACGGGCAACGAACGTATAGACCAGAGGCCGATAGCTTCTCAGATACCCAGAGAGAGCCGAGCCCGGCGAGCCTTGGCTCACCCAAGCCTCGGAGCGCCCGGCCTCTCGCGCGCTGAGCCCTCCGCCCCGTGCCCACGCAGGGCTCCCGCCTCCGGCCTGTCCACCTGAATCCAAACCGTTCCCCTAGCCGGCTCCTTACCCCGACAGGTCTGGTGGTCCAAGTGGACTCCTCTGCGCCCCCTCCTGCTTCCTCTCTCAGGCGTGCTGACCCCCAAACCTCTTCCCGGTCCCCGCCACCTCCCGGAGGTTTCCGGAACACGGCACTGCGTTCTCTGTGCTGCCCAAGGAGTGGGGGTGCGGGCCTCGGCGAGGAGGAGCTTTCACTTCTTTTGAGCCTGGGTTTTCTTTTCCCGAGGTTAATTCCCGCACGTGGCCTCGGCCCCATCCCTGCCCGGCCACTGCCCTCCCTCGGGAAAGCCCAGGTCTTGGTCGTAAAGGAGCCAAGGACGCTCTACAGCTTCACAGCAGAGGGAAAGGGGTCAGAGACCCCCTGGTGGCTCCCCAGGCCTAGCTGATGCGGGGCCGCGCGCTCCCGGCACAGCGTTACTGAGCCAGCGCGGTGCGCAGCTCCTCGGCCAGCTCTACAGATGTGGACTCCCGGCGGGGTGGGGGTGGAGGGTTAGCTGGTGAGGGAGGGGTGCGGGTGTCTTACCTGCCGAGGAGCTCCGTGAGCGCTCAGGAGTCCTGGGGACACTGAGCGATCGCAGGCTCCCTTTTAGGCCAACCTGTCCCTGCTCCAGCCCTTGGCGCTTTCTGGATCACGCTCAGAATCCCCAGATCTCGGCTTCCTGGTGTCAGTTCAGGGGCAAAACCCTGAACTTTCCCCCTCCACCTGCTCTCTCCCGGGCCCCCACCTCGTGGCTCCCACCGATATTGTCAAGGTCAGCGATACAGGCTGGGGAAGTCCAGGACTGTGGGTTGATGCAGAGTGGAAAAGTGTTGTCGTTCAATGCCAGGGCCAAAGAATTCAGGTCGCGCAAACCCCCGCTTGAAGGCAGGAGAAGGACCACCGGCGCTTTAACAAAGCTCCAGGAGGCCTCAGGTGAAGCCACCTCCCCCACCCCGCCTCCCTGGGGTGGAAGGGTGCAGGGCTGTGCGGTCTGGGGAACCGAGCTGCGCTTCGGGCCTAGAGCGGAAGCTAAGCCCGTGGCCTCCTGCCATCTGCGACCCGAGGCCGCCGGGTCTGTGCTCCTGGGACGGCGGGTCGGGCGCCCCTCCCCCCTCCCCCGCGTCATTCTTGGAGAAGAACGAGTTCTGGTGGGTGGGCCTGGCCGCGGGGGTCACAACCTGGAACGGTCCCCTTTCTCGCGTCAACAAATCACCCCCATGGTTTCCAGGGAGTGGGTGATCACCTATGGGATGAGGATTTCCTGAGAGCAGAACTGCAGAGTTGGCCAGAAATGGGATGCGCGGGGCTGGCTCCGTGGCAAAGCGCCCGCGCTGTCCTCTCCAGGCGCCCTGCCCCAGGGCCGCACATTCGCCTTGCTGTGCGCACGCAGCCGGGTGGTTGAGACCACCACCCCCTAAATCACCTTGCCCTTACCCTCCGCTGTCTTTTTTTTCGTAAGGGCGAGAGAGGTGGTCGCAACACTGAAACCAAAACGATTTAAAGTGACTTCCCCGTCAGAGGGACGGCGCTGCTTGCAACTCCGCTCCAGCGCAAGGTCCCAGGCCCAGCTGGGGTTGGGCCCTGTGTGTGTGTGTGTGTGTGTGTGTGTGTGTAGGGGGTGGGTTCCGGCGGGGTGGGGGAGGGCCGAGGGGGAGGGCAGGAGCCTAGGGTAGAATTTCAGGGCGGGGAGGGGGGCGCCGGGGCGCAGTGACGGGAACCAATGAGCTGCCAACTCGCGCGTCCCCGGCGTGACTGCCGAGATTGACGTGGAGGACACGTCAAATTGATTCCCGCAAGCCGCCGCTTCCCGGTCAGACGAATTTCTCCCAATCGGATGAAGTTCACCTTGGGCCTGGGGTCGCGGGCGTGGAGAGTGTCCTGGGAGCGGACAGCAGCGGCGGCGGCAGCCGGCCCCGGGGCGGGCGGGGCACCGCGCGTCTGCAGCCCGCGGCCGGGCCGCCGCGGCTCTCGGCTCGCGCGCGCGCTCCCTCTATGCCTCGCCCCCGGCGGCGGCGCCCGAGCTCTCCCGGACTGCGCCGGGCCCAGCTGCCGCCGCTCCGGCGCCAGGCTGCTGGCTGGCCCGCGCGCTATGGGTAAGGGGCGATAGGCAGGCAGGAACGGCGGGCGGGGCGGATGCGGTGGGTCGCGCCTCCCTTCCTTCGGGACCGCTTTCCCTGCGCGACCCGGTGCTGGGTCCCTAACGATCCTCGTTCTCCGGATGTCCTTAGCCCTCGAGGGGGGCGGTTCGGCGAGTCCTTGGGGGGGGGGTGGCACAGAGGTGTCCAAAGTGTAGATGTCCCCAAAGTTGCAGAAGGGCACGCAGGGCAAGAGTGCAGGTTTGCGCCCTAGGAGACGGATCCAGGACTCCTAGCTGTGCTGGGGGCCTGTGAGGCACCTTCGGGGGCACGCCTGGGTGCAGTCCCTGGCCTCCCGCAAGGCCGCCCTTGGCTAACCCGCCGGTGTTTTCTCCCCCTCCCGCGCGCTTTTGCGGGATGCGTCGCAGAGCAGACGTATGGCGAGGTGAACCAGCTGGGAGGCGTGTTTGTCAACGGCCGCCCCCTGCCCAATGCCATCCGCTTGCGTATCGTGGAGCTGGCGCAGCTGGGCATCCGACCCTGTGACATCAGCCGGCAGCTCCGCGTCTCCCACGGCTGCGTGAGCAAGATCCTGGCGCGCTACAACGAAACTGGCTCCATCCTACCCGGCGCCATCGGCGGCAGCAAACCGCGCGTCACCACCCCCAACGTGGTCAAACACATCCGGGACTACAAGCAGGGAGACCCCGGCATCTTCGCCTGGGAGATCCGCGACCGGTTGCTGGCCGACGGCGTCTGTGACAAATACAACGTGCCCTCAGTGAGCTCCATCAGCCGCATTCTTCGCAATAAGATCGGCAGTTTGGCGCAGCCCGGGCCCTACGAGGCGAGCAAACAGCCGCCGCCGCAGCCCGCGCTGCCCTACAACCACATCTACCAGTACCCCTACCCCAGCCCCGTGTCTCCCACGGGCGCCAAGATGGGCAGCCACCCCGGGGTCCCGGGCACAGCGGGCCACGTCAGTATCCCGCGCTCGTGGCCCTCGGCGCACTCGGTCAGCAACATCCTGGGCATCCGGACGTTCATGGAGCAAACAGGTCAGTGGTGGCGGCCTCCGAAGTCTTCCTCCCAAGGGCAGAACAGGGGCAGGTGGGAGGGTGGGTGAGCGGTCCCCCTTGCCCTCCTGCCCGACGTTGGTTGCTGGTCAGGCTAAGGGAAGCCGGGGGTCCCGGGCTTTTCCGTGGGAGTCCCTAGACATCTTGAACGTCTTATGGCAAATATGGAAAATATTTCCCACGTGGAAGAGCCATCCGCGACCACAAATTCTGAGGCCTGGATCGTGCTTTTTCATTCTTGCAAAAAGCATGCAACCCCTTATCGCCAAATCTAAGTCCAACAAACCGCGCAGGCAATTCTTTCCTTTAGCTTTCTGGACTCCTCAGCCTCCTCCCTTCCCCACCCCGCCAGGGTTCTGTCCCCACTCCTCGACCTAATGGCTGCTCTTAAGGAAAAAGCAACAGGGGCCCGGGAGCGATAGGTAGACTGTCAGCGGTTCCTGCGGCCTGGCAGGTCTTGGTGATGGCACACCCGGGGCTGTAGCTACCCTCAAAGGGTGCTCGCTTTTTGCTTGCAATTAGAACTCAAACTGTTGGTCATCTCTGGGGGAGAAGAGCGGTGGAGGTGGGGGTGGGTGGGCATTGGTGCAGCTTTGGTGCTGGACTTGGGAAGCACCCCTGAGGACCTGAACCGGGTCTCCTGGCACCACCCCCTGCCGCCAGCAGCAGGCCTGGAGTGGAGAATGGGCATGACTCAATAGGAGGGGTAGGAAGCAAAATTCACAGCCGCTCTAGAGAAAGGAGCTGCAACCGGACAGAAACTGAGCGCTTAGCTCCAAGGGCAGTGGCGCGGGTCCCAGAGGCTGCCCACCCTCTTTGCTTCCGCTGTGGTCTCCCACCCAGTCTGGGGCCGCAGGTTCCCTGGGAACCACAGCAGACAGCTCTTGGGGAGCTGACCCTTCCAGGCCTGTGCTCGGATTTGGAGCGTCCCTGGATTCCACACTCGAGGAGCAGGTGTACGCCCGGGGCACGGGCAGGGTCGCGGGGTTTTGGGGAGACCAAGGGTGGCCTGGGGGCAGTTAACGCTAGAAGCTTTTCCTATCTCTGCCCCTGCCGCGTGCTTGTTGAGAGGTAAATTTGCGCTTGGGATGTTTTTGGGTGCTGCCCGTGGACCCCAGTGACTGAAAGTGCCGACCCCATGGGTCAGCTCCCAGCCAGAGGCCCCTGATTTCGTGGGAAGCGGGTCATCGGTAGAGCTCAGGGAGGAGCAGGCCTCGCTGCTGCCTTTCTTTGCCCTGGCCCGCTGGGAGTGAAAGCGAAACTCGGGGTCCCGTGGCCTCTGATTGACTTCTGGCCACCTCCAGGGATTGGGGGACCCCTGGCCGCGCGCTTGGTTCTTCTTTAGGGTTGGGAGGCTGTAGGCGCGCGTCTGGGCACGTGCTCCTCCCAGCCGCGGAGCTGCTTCCAGCCCTGTCCCTTGTCCCCTGCAGGGGCCTTGGCCGGGAGCGAAGGCGCCGCCTACTCCCCCAAGATGGAAGACTGGGCCGGCGTCAACCGCACCGCCTTCCCCGCCACCCCGGGCGTGAACGGGCTCGAGAAACCTGCCTTGGAGGCGGACATTAAATACAGCCAGGTAACCGGGAGCAGGGAAGGAAGGAGACGTCGACTAGGGCTGCGGAAAGCGCCCGGGACGCGCGGCTCTTTGTGCCGGGCACGCAGGCCGGCGGGCATCTCGCAGCGGCGTTTCCGTCGCGCGAACTCTGGAGGGGACTGGTTTGTCTTTCCGCTACAAAAGCCTAAACTGGCGGGGACTCCTTTCTCGGGACCCTTTTATCTTTTATTATTAAGCAATTTGGAGTTTCCAATATCTTTGTGGCCCCTGAATCCTCACTACGAAACGTAGGGCCGGGCGCTGCCTTGGACCTCCGCGGCGAGCGCGCGAGCTGATGGAGACGGCGGGTGGCCCCCAGTGCTTCCCACGGCCTGATGTGTCCCTCTCCGCCTCCACAGTCGGCCTCCGGCCTTTCGGCTGTGAGCGGCTTCCTCCCGGCCTGCGCCTACCCGGCCTCCAACCAGCACGGCGTATACAGCGCGCCAGGCGGCGGCTACCTTGCGCCGGGTCCTCCGTGGCCGCCGGCGCAGGGCCCCCCGCTGGCGCCCCCCGGGGCCGGCGTCGCGGTGCACGGCGGGGAGCTCATGACCTTCAAGCACCCCAGCCGAGAAGGTGAGGGGCGCGGGCAGCTCCTGGAGGGGTGAGGAAGCGTGCGGGAGAAGGGGAGTGAGTCTGGGAAAGGCCGGGGTGGTGCTCGCGGGAACCCTCCCTTTGGGTTAGAGCTTCGGTCTGGAACTTTCTGGAGCAGATTATTTTCTAGCAGGTGTCTTTCTACACACCTGAGGCTCAGTGAGGCAGGGGATCAAGACGGGTCTCCCGACTTGTACAGAGACCGGTCAGGCTAGCAAACAGGACTCCAGGGTTTGCCCTGGTTCTTGGACTCCCCGGCCAAGTTATTGTTCTTCTCTGGCTTCCCATGGAAGGGTCTAGAAGGCACCGCTCGGGGGCCCACATTTCTGTAGCCATGAGTGGTGAACCTGTCCTGGCACCTGAGCTGGGGTTGCGCTTGCCAGCGATAGCTAATGTCCTCACCAGCCCCCCCCCCCCCCCCCCAGACATACGGCCCAGCTGTTTCTTCCAGGTTCCTTTTTCCCCCTACCCCTTCCTAAGTCAGACCCTTTTGTATTTTTTTTTTTCTTTAACACATCCCGTGGGAAAACAGAGAGCACTCCGCCTGTGTGGCCCTGAAGTCACATGCTGGAACTCTGTGTGGTTCTGGGTCCTCCTGTCTGTGAGAAATGTGGCTGCTTGATCTTCCTCCTCCTTACCCCACTGTCTTCTACAAATCCAGTCCCTAATGCGCCGGCTAACAGACTTGCAGTATTACTGTCTGCTGTGCGAAGGGCTCTGGTTTTTCCTTTAACCTCTGAACACACCTGCCTGGAGTCCTCCTTTTCCTCCTTTGGTGAAAGCAGTGTCTGAATTTGCTAATTTCTAACTTGCTTGCGTTTGGGTCCTGATCACCAGAAATTTGTGACTCTAACTGCCCTGGGGAATGGAGGGAGTCACCCCCAGAAGGTCCCGACACAGCAGAAAAGAGCAGGGCACAATCCCGGGGACAGCACGGGGCGGAGGGGGTGTTCCCAGATAATAAGATGAGCTTTGCTTGCAGATCTGCTTGGCACCTGCTGAGGCTGGTGGGGGAGGGGCCGGCTGGTGGCTAAGTGGACAGTGGGGTGGTGCTGCTGTTCAGATACCACCTGTAACAGTGAAGTCGAAAAAACGTAGCTATTTTATTTCCACATTTCCTAGAGCGCAAGCATCCTGGGATATTAGAATAATACTGATTTGCCTCATTATAGACAAATTCAAGTAAAGGAAATTTATGCAATTGAGAGTTTAGAATTTTCTTAAAATTGAAATTTAATTTTGATAATAGGATAATGTCTGTTGTGCGTTTATAGGAGAACCAAAATAAAGGAAAAATTTTAAAGTTGACGGAATTCCTTGAAGCTTGACAGCTGAGGAGTCAGGATGAGTGTTTTGCTTGGTTTCTCATCCTTGGTCTCTAATCCACTTCTCCAGGGTTCGCTCACCTGCTAAAGTAGAAATTGATACGGAATTTATTTTATTACTTCTGTTACAAAGTTGCTGAACTAAGCAAAGTCATTTGAACTCAAAAGACATATTCACAAATTTAAATTGTTTCCCCTGAGTTGATCCTAAGGAGAAGGAAAACTGAGGAAAAAGAAGCCCCAAATCTTTGACAAGGGATGTGGTCCTTTTCCCAAACAGCCTCTTTGTCCTGGACATGTCTCAGACTCTGCATCAGAAACAAATTGTACTGTGTAGATAACAAACAGAAGGTGACCGATGCAGTTCCTACATCTAAACTACTTCTCATAATTCGGGAGGGGAATGATTTCAACAGGCTCACTGGCAAGAGTGGTTTTTTGTTTGTTTGTTTGTTTTTAGCAAATACTTTCCTTTGCAGAAATAACAGAGCCACTGAGTGGCCCTGGTGCGCACGGCCTTTTGGCCATTATTCCAGCTTCTTACCTGCTTTCAAAATTCATAGCAATAATTAGCTCCCTGAGTTGTTACATTAATAATTCAATTTCCATTCCTCTCAATTCTTAAAGATTCAGGGGAGGATTAGCAAATGTCTCAGGCCCGCTCTTCAACTGGTCTGTAGGTGTTTCTGTTCAAAAACAGGTACACAGAAACAACTGCTGCTTATCTGTATTTGCGTGTATACTTGGGCTGTAGCATTTTACTTCTCACTGGAAAAAAAAAAAGCCGGCTTCAAATTTCCTGCCCTTTTCCAAGCAGGTCTTTTAAAATACAGATCACTACTTCTCCCCCCACCCCCACCAATCCTGTTTTAAGACATTAATGTCTTCCAAGAAACCTGTCCCATGAGACACTTTGCTATCAACTACTTGCTGTTCAATTCATAAAGGAGTAGTTGATACTGAATTTATTTTTTTGTAGGAAAAGCATTTCTTTACATTTTTACAATTTTACATCATGAATAGTCAGTAAAAATTCATTTAGTGCACATGCATAACACTGCATATAAATATAAATATTTATAAATATGTTAGTGTGTCTTCTAAATTAGCTGCAAACGAACATCTTAGTGTTTAAAGGAAGACTAGCCAGATGTGAAATTATCAATTTTATCTTGGTTAGGTGAGTCTGGGTTCCCTACTAAGCAAGCAAGAAAGGATGATTGACATTTATATCGTCCTATAAAAGGGAACTATTTCTTGGGAGCTGACAGAAGGGTGGGGAGGTCCACGTCACCTTCATGGAGAAGGGTGGGTTCTAGGACTCTGAACCTGAACATCTTCTTCCCCGGCCTCCTCTGCCCCTGGCTTCAGGCGACCACCGTCAGTGGTTATTTTCAGCCTATTTTCCTAAACCATAGGTCCTTGGGTTAGGGATTCTTCGTAAAGACTCAGGATTGGGAAATCAGATCTGTAAGACATCGTATTCACACAAAGCAAATGTGCGCTGCAGTTGTCTCTGCGCTGGTCTTAGTTCTTGGAAAATGCCCAAAGTGCGGCGTACCAGGGCGAGGACGCGCGCCAGCAGGAGCATGGCGCCAGTGCCCGCAGCGGCTGACCAAGCCGCGGGAGACCGTTTCCCGCGGGCCCTGCCCTCGCAGCCTGTCCCCATCCTAGCTCCTGAGTTGAAAAGAGCCTGCAAAGCTCCCAGGGCGAGCTCAGGCCCCGGAGGTGTACCCCGCCACCCCGCGCAGCCCGGGCTCCCGCAGGAGGGAATGGCGCGGACAGAGTTAAAAACGCAGCGAGATTCGCCCGTGTAGGTTGGGGTGGAATCTGTCTCAGGGGCTCCCGGGTGTTGATATTTCACCAGTTCATTTTCTCTCTGTCTCTAAGGTACCCCGGCGCCTGGCTAAGAAACCCCCAGCCTCTCATGTTTTGTAAACAGATCCGCACCTTGCAGTGTGAGAACAGAGCCAGGTCTGGGCATTTCATTGGCGGGAAGGCTGCAGCCGGGTTTAGGAAGGAGAGGCCCAGACGAGCCAAGGGGTCGAGACCTCTTCAAAATCTCTCAGAAACCCTCGCCCGCGTGTATTTTTTGTTTGAATTCGCGCGCGCGCATGTTGTCGGTCCTGCTCCACCAAGGCCAAAGCAAGTTGTGCAGGGAGCTGGGGAGAGGACAGGGGCAGGAAGGAAAAAAATAAAAATAAAAACCCAAACCAGGAGTTTCCTCTCGTCGCAAATGCAGGCGCTTGAAGCTCACCCTTTAAGGAAGACTTGTTGGGGAAAAGAGAACATGGAAATAGGTTTCCTCCACTTCCCCCTTTAGGTTGAGCCTCCTGGTGCAGAAGCAGCTGGGCCGCCCGGGATTGGGAAAGGAAAAACAGGGTTGCGCAATGGTGGCGTCACTCTCTGGCTTCCAGTAGCAAAAAACCTGGGCCCCTTCCCAAAACCCTAAATCACAGAGCGAGGCGCAGGAGACCGCCTGATCTGGCAAAGCCCACTGTCACTTAATCCGGGAGGCCCAGAGGCCCCAAAATGGGCCGCTGCGCGGTGGTGAGCGCATCTGGATGCCCGGATCTCGCGGGAACAGCGGATCCGGGGAGCCTATGTTTGAGGAGGAGGGGGATCCAGGCTGCCCACAGCGAGCGCCCTGAGCCGCAGGTGTCCGCAGATCTCCGGCTCCGGCTGCTCCTCACACCAGGCGCACACGCCGAGGGGGCCTGGAGTGTATGCAGGGCCCGGCGGAGGGGCGCGGGGCTGTCCCTTACTGAGCGGATGATGAAAGGTCCAGGGCAGAGGGCCTGGCGCATCTGCCAAGGCGCCCTTTCAATTGGCCCCTTGCGGGAGCGGGAAGCAGGGCCGCCCCGGGAGCCGAGAGTCTGCTTCCTTCTTCCAAAGCCTTGCGCGGTGGAGCGCACGCTACCGACGTCCACCCGCTGATCCCTGCGCTGCAGTCGAGGCCTGGGGCCCCCCGGAGCCTCAGCCTACGCCAAGCTCGGCAGTGATCCGACGCCCCTGTGCTTCCTCCCGCAGTGGCCGATCGGAAACCCCCCAGTCCCGGCAGCAAGGCGACGGACACCCTCAGTAGCTTACACGGACTGCCCATCCCGGCTTCGACCTCCTAGGGGCCGGCGTTGGCCGGAGCCCGAGCCCCGAGGGAGCGGCGGAGCTGCTGTCGGCCCCGGGCGCGCACATCGGCCCGGCAGCCGCGGCGAGCTGAGCGGGCGGGACCGGAGGACAACGCTGCGGGTAGGAAGTCGGTGCCCGCGGGGGAGCGCCCCGGCAGCCCCTGGGCCTCGCCTGCCTCTGGCCCAACTGGCCGCGCTCCCCACATCTGCCGGGGATTTAGGCTTCTCGTAACATTGACCTTGGACTGTTGCACCCTCTTGGCGATCCTTGCTCCGACGTGGCCTCTTTCGTCCTGCCGGCCTCAAATTCCTGTTTGGTCCATCGCCTGTCCATCTCTCTCCCTCCATTGCGTTCTCCATCCTTTCCTGTCTCCTGTCCTTCTGCTCTCTCCATCTTCCCCCGTTTCTCTTGGCTGGTTCCGCACCCCGTTGCTGTTCCTCTCTCGCCTTTCCTGCCATTTTCTGTCCTGGGCTCTATTTCCTTTCTGTATTTGTACAGCTCCCTTGTCCTCTCTTCCCGCCAGCCCCTTCTCTCTCCCCTGCGATTCTGACCCTCCCAGCCCTAATGGGAGCTGAGGCGGCAACCCAGGAAATGAACAGAGAAGCCAAGCCTTTATTATATATTTTTGTAATAACAAACCTGAACAAAACCTCCATGAACTGATCCCACCCCTTCCCACCAAAACCCATTGTCTGGAAGTGTGTGCTTTCTCAGAGCCTCCGTGGCCAGGCTTCTCTTTGCTTCCAAGATAATGTCACCCCATAAATCAGACTGGGGTAGCATGAGGCAGACACTGGGGCTGTCTTCTGTAGATAGAAAACTGGGTGTCCCAGAGGGAACCAGAGGCATGGCACTGTATTTGGAGTTCAGGGGTCAGCACATTTGTTAATTTAAGCCCCAAACTGCTTCTGATGCAAAGGGTACATTCGGGCTGCTGGTTTGCAAGGGGTGGGGATCAGAAAAACCCAGCAAGTGTCTTTCCTAGAGCCAGACACTGTTAACTGCTTCCAAGTTCAGGTGCACTGGTGGTGGGGCCCTGGCCGGCATGCAATTTTGTAGTCATAAAGGTTTCATTGGTGAGTCTGACATCACCTGTGAAGTTTCCTTTGAATAAAGGAAAGTGAAACATAACTTGGTCTGTGTCTGAATTCAGAGTTGGTGGATGTCCTGGCGCCCTGCCTTCCCTGGATGACTACCAGCAAAGAAATTGATCTCGTTGGTTCATTCAGGAGCACTTGCAGCCCAGGAAGGCAACAGAAAGTGAACTGGGAGAGGTGTGTGTATGGGTGGGGGGCAGTGCACCTGCTGTCCCCAAAAAGATGGATGTGGTTATCTGGGAACTGCCAGGTCCCTGGGAAACCGAGACAGGGAGACCATGTGCAGACAGCATTCTAAAGTGAAATCAATTCTTCAAGGAATAAAGTGGGGAAAAGGCAGAGAGCGACCAGTAGAGATCTTTTTCAGAATATTTCTGTCCTAAATGCTAAAGAAAAATGATTGCAGGTTACCACACATGTAGGTTTTCTTTCTTTTTTAAACCACAAAGGCATTTCTGGACAATTGTTTTGTGTGTGTGTGTGTGTGTGTGTTTTCCTTCTTGTATTTGGCTTTCTGAAACTAATGGAAGAGGTTTTTGGGTGGAAGTTTTGGCTTGTCGGGAGAGAGCTGCCTGCTTGGTGCTGTCTGCTCTGGACCCAGGAAGGGAATCCGTTGGCAACGGTTTTCATTGTGTCACTTTGCAGCAGCACCTGTTGAAGACAGCAATCCTACAAGAGGACTTGCTTCTTTCTGCTTTAAAAATTTTTTTATTTATTTTTTTGAAATTTTGATTCATTTTTAACAGATTCAGTATAGTTGGTAGATACAAATCTAAGAATATCATGATATTACATGCTTTTTTTCATATAGAGATCTTTCTTCTCAGGTTTTCAGCATGCCTTGTCTTTTTCAAAGTCTCCATTTCGTAGATGGGAATGTCGAGGGCTATAGACTTGATTTATTTTCTCTTGACTCTGTGGCAAGTTCTGAATTACAGGAGTATGGAAGCATGTTTATCTTATCTCAGCGTATTCCGCAGAGAAGCTGATCATAGCAACAGAAGAAAGGTGCAAACAAGGCTCCTGTCCTCTCAGCCTGCCCTGTGCAATCACAGTCATGCAGCTTCCTTTGCTGCGGGAGAGGAGCTGGCTTTGCTTAGGCCCCGAGGAAAGCATCCTGCTGGTTTCTGAAGAAACAAGAGGACGCGTCTATGCAGCACGCACTGCCTCTGCGTCGTCATCCCCTCCCCCCCCCCCCTGCAATTCTCCTGGTTCTGTGTCAAGGCTCATCAGGGTTAGTGGGTTGAAGACTTGGGGGATGCAGTGGATGGAGGGCTGCCACGGGCTTCTGTCTTAAACACCACCTGCATTTGTCAGCTCTGTCCCCTGCTGTTCTCCCTGTCCTGTGGCTAGAGGTGGGACCTGCAGAGTTCCATGGCCCTGAGATGAGCATTCATGGAGGTCAGGTGTCCCTTAGCCACAGACTTTGGCTTTTCCTGTGGGAGGCAGAGGGACAAATGTTCTCTCTTGAGACTTTGGGCTGCTGTGAACTTGGCTCCTCTGAGTGTGACAGAGGGAGGTAACCGCTCTGTGTTTCTGTCTGTGAAATGCACACCCCGAACGATCTTGTAAGACTGGTGCTGGTGTGACTTCACCTCTTCAGAGTGATTTTGCTCTAGGCATTAGCAGAGGTTAGGGGAGTCACATCTAAGATTATGGGGGACCCAGAATTTAAATATTTTTCCAAAAGATCTTGTTGGAATATTGCGTTTTTATTCTCCATGTAGTATGGATCTGTGGAAGTACTGGAGACTGATAATAACATCACAATAGTGGGAGTGGCCTCAGCGTTTCAGATGGCTGTGGATTACATCCGAGTACCTGAATTCAATACCTGCTCTGTCTCCTTCCAGCTTCCCAACAATGCAGACCCTGGGAGGCAGCAGTGATGGCTTAAGTGACTGGGCTCCTGCCACCCATGTGAGAGACGTGGATTGAGTTCTGGCTCCTGGATGGGCCTTTGCAGACATTTGGGGAATGAAACAGAGTATGGGAGCCAGAGCTGCCTCTCAAAGAAATAATTAATCAAAAAAATTTTTTAAAAAGTTACACAGTACCCCGTTGTACGGAATAATTTGAGAATCACTCCCAGTGGTTGCTTATCTTTGCTCTTAGCATTGTTCTCTTAGTTTATAATCTGAGAATAAAATTTAAAAATATAGAGTGAATCACTCAACAGAAAATTGAACAAAGGCGAACATTTTAGCATGCTGAGATCCCTTTGATGTTTTTCAAAGTAAAGATGTGCATCACTAAAAAAAAAAAAAAAAGCAGCCCTGAAACCTTAAAAATGAAAGTTTCTTTCCACCCTCAGCCCAGTCCTTCAAGGTGAATGCCATTGAACTCTTTTAGGAATCTTTCCAGGAAAAAAAAAAAAAAAAAACAAGCATAGAGCGGAACGTCTGTTTGTATGGGCACTGCAGAAGTGCACGCGCAAAGTTACCCTGTGCACACACCCATACGGTCCGGAGCCTGCTCTCGACGTTCAGCAACCTCAGCTCCTCTGCATTCTCTTTATTCTTTTCAACGGATGCGTATCAACAAGGACTGATTAAAAACAGGGTTTTGTCTCGAAGGCCGGCTTCGTGCCGTCCATGAATAGACGGGATTTTGTGGTGTTCCTTGTGGGAGGAAGTTCTTAGAATGGGCCATAGTCACTTCCCTGAGAAAGGTGGCTCCTTCTTGGCAAGCAAGCAGGAAAGCAAACTAAAGGCAAAGAGGCCCAAGAGGGTGGGACACAGAGCTTCTTCCTCCATGGAGATATCCAAGGGCTGGGGGGGGAGCTCTTTCCTTATCTTTCAGAGGGAGCCAGTATCTCTGGGCCAGGAAAGAGACAAAGGCAAAGGGGTGGGAGAAGGAACTTGTTTGAAGAAGCATTTTTGACCCATACAGTTCAAACAGCCAACCTCGGCACCCACGCTCTTTTTTCACACTCCCCCACTTCCCCTAAATCAGTGTGGCGTTAACCTCCGATGCTGAACCCCACTTGCTGGCGACTGCTTTTCCCCCACTGCCTGGCTGTCTTGACTCCGTAAAGAGGATGGGATTTATTTCATCGAACCGCGGTCCAGGTTAAGGCTCACTGTCGATTTCCTGGCATCAGCTTCCCTCGCTAGAATTACATCAGCCTGGGTTTCTTTTCAAAAGAAATCCTACCTGCTGCACGTTATGCTGGTTGATATGAATTTAGAATCGTGCCAGAATGTGCCCGAGGAGCTCTGTGGAAAGGATTATGCATCCAGACAGGCTATGTAATGAGAAACATTCGATTCCTTTCTTTTACTGGGTAGGAATTATTATGCACAAAATGGTTTTTCGTCTTCACTTTGACCTTGCCGTATGAACTATGGCCCCACTCACCGAAGAAATGTCCTGTGACTGAAATATTTCTGGCCAAACCTTTGTATCTAAACTTAAATATATATTATATAAATATATATAAATATTGGTTTCTGTTTTTGGATCTGTCTCCTTTTCTTTTCTTTCTTTCTTTTTTTTTTTTTTTTTATTTTTTTGGGTGCAGAACAAGGAGGAGTCTCACTGTCTTCTTTTCCAAGGCCATAAAATGAGAACCACACATTTAGCCTCAATCCAATGTGGGAATTCTAAACACTTGGAACAATTACCCTCAATTTGGTCTGGTCCCTGCTTTGGAGTGGAGACCAGTGAACCGCTGGCTTCCCTCACAAGGGCTCTTCTCCGGGAGATGCAGCCGTGGATTCCCGTTGCAGCACATCTGTTTCTGGGCTGGCCAAAGCTAAACGCGGAATCCCAATGACAGTTTACACCACTGATGGAATTTCAACTGCATTACAATGTAACCACCTGGGTTGCCTCCACTTCTTTTTTCTTTTTAAGAATAAATAAGTCCATCCAATGTTTATTCAGCTATTAAATTACAGTCCTATTTGGCAACTTTTAAAATTCTGTTTTTTATAAAGATTTATTTACTTATTCAAAAGTCAGTGTGTGTGTGTGTGTTTATGTGTGTGTGTGTGTGTGAGAGAGAGAGAGAGAGAGAGAGTTCCTCCGTTCACTGGTTCACTCCCCAGATGGCTATAACAGCCAGGGCTTGCGCCAGGCTGAAGCCAGGAGCCAGGAGCTCCCTCCAGGTTTCCCAAGAGGATAGCAGGGCCCAAAGCACTTTGGTCACGCCCCACTGCCTTCCCCAGGCCATTAGTAGGGAACTGGACCAGAAGTAGAGCAGCCAGGACATGAACTGGTGCCCATATGGGGTGCCGACACCACAAGTGGTGGCTTTACCTGCTACGCCACATCGCCATCGCCAGCCTCTAAAATTATGTTTTATGAGCTTTTTTTTTTTTTAACTAATTCACTCACAAAATGGCTGTCACAGCTGGGGCTGGGCCAAGCCAAAGCCAGGAGCCAAGATTTCCTTCTGAGTCTCCTACGTGGGTGCAAGGCCATGTGCAAACACTTGGCTATCTTCTGCTGCTTTCCTAGGCACGTTAACAGGGAACCATATTGGAAGTGGAGCAGCCAGGACTTGAACCGGTGTCCATATGGGATGCTGGTGTTGCAGAAGCTTGTCCCAGAAGGCAATTACGTGAACCATTACCCCTGCTTCCCCACATCTGTATTAGCTGGAGCCAGAGACAGAGAAGAGAACCAGGTGTCTTACTCCCAGGCAGCATCTTAACCAGTGTCTTAACCTCTAAAACCTAATGCCTGCCCCCTACCCTGTAACTTTTTTTGTTTCTTTTCTCTCTGATGAGAGATACTGACTTGATAAATTACTTCCAATCTTAGATTAACCAAGCAATTTTAACTTTCGGGGGTTCCCTCCTTTGGTGGTGGATGCAACTTTAGCTTTCAAAGATCTTATTTTGCCCCAAACAGCGAACAATAAAACAAAAATTTTTAACTAGGTGGTTTTGCTTTCACAACAAATCTCTTGGATACAAACTAAGCAAGATATTTTAATGAGCTTAAGGAAATCGAGTTTTTAAAAAGTTGCGTTGGAATCTGAAACTTGTGAAATGAGTGGTTTGTTGGCAATAAGTCCTGTGGCAT